GGAGCAGGGCCGGCGCCGTGGCTCAATAGGCTAATCCTCCACCTTGCGGCGCTGGCACACCGGGTTCTAGTCCCGGTCGGGGCGCCGGATTCTGTCCCGGTTGCCCCTCTTCCAGGCCAGCTCTCTGCTATGGCCAGGGAGTGCAGTGGAGGATGGCTCAGGTGCTTGGGCCCTGCACCCCATGGGAGACCAGGAAAAGCACCTGGATCCTGGCTCCTGCCATTGGATCAGCACGGTGCGCCGGCTGCAGCGGCGACCATTGGAGGGTGAACCAACGGCAAAGGAAGACCTTTCTCTCTCTGTCTCTCTCTCACTGTCCACTCTGCCTGTCAAAAATAAAAAAAAAAAAAAAAAAAAAAAAAAAAAAAAAAAAAAAAAGAAGAGGAGCAGCTGGGACTAGAACCGGCATCCATATGGGATACCAGCGCTTCAGGCCCAGGATTTATAACCACTTGCAACACAGGCGCCGCCCCTTTAGAATTACATTCTCCCATTCCATTTTGGTAAGGTGAATCTGAATTATTGGTTTGTTGGGTATGCATGTATGTATGTATTTATTCTTTTTTTTTTGTTTTCTCTTGACAGGCAGAGTAGACAGTGAGAGAGACAGAAAGGTCTTCCTTTTGCCGTTGGTTCACCCTCCAATGGCCACCACGGCCGGTGCACTGCAGCTGGCGCACCGCGCTGATCCGAAGGCAGGAGCCAGGTACTTATCCTGGTCTCCCATGGGGTGCAGGACCCAAGCACTTGGGCCATCTCCACTGCACTCCCTGGCCACAGCAGAGAGCTGGCCTGGAAGAGGGGCAACCGGGACAGAATCCGGCACCCTAACCAGGACTAGAACCCGGTGTGCCGGCGCCGCTAGGCGGAGAATTAGCCTAGTGAGCCACGGCGCCGGCCCATATGTGTTTATCTTTTTAAAGGCAGAGCATCAGAGAAATTGAAAGAGACAGAGAGCCTCAACTGCTGGTTCACTTCTCAAATGTCCAAAACAGCCAGGGCTAGGACATGCTAAAGCCCAGAGCCAGAACTGCATCTGGGTCTCACATGTTGGTGGCAGGGAGCCAAGTACTTAGGCCATCACTTGCTGCCTCCCAAGTGCATTAGGAAGCTGGACTGGGAGCAGAGGTGGGACACCAGCACTCTGACTTGGAGTATAGGTGTACCATGCAGCAGCTTAGCCCATTGTGCCTCACTGCTCATCCTGGATGCTGGCATAAAAATACTCCTGAGTTAGTCATTTCTATGAAAAGGGAATTTTTTTTATTAAAAAGTCTGGCTGACAACAAAAGTTTAGCTTTACGGTTTTCTGGGAATATTAAGTTTAAATAATGCTTAATAGTCTCTGTAGGCCAGTCAAAAAGAGATCATTTAAGAGATTTATAGTTGATTTATTAATGTACTTTGAAGGTAGAAAATATTTTATACTCAAAATGAACAAGGGTGCTTATAAAGCTATATATATACCCAAAGGGTTGTAAGCTTCTGTCCTACATTATAGTCATGTCAAACATAGACCCAGAAATGTTGAAATTCAAAAAGCTGTCCATTCTAGTGAGGGCAAAACATACTGTTGTTAAAAAATACAAACAAGTGAAAGAGTAGCACACATATTCTCTGGTGCCTTTCAGCCAATACAGAATAGATCCTCATTCCAGTAACATCATAAACACCAAAACATCCAACTCCATTTATTACTACTACTAATGGGGAATAACTTAGCCCAAGGACATATTAGAACCAAACTTAGGGGCAGGCGCTGTGGTGCAGCGTGTTAACGCCCTGGCCTAAGCGCTGGCATCCCATACGGGTGCTGGTTTGAGACCCGACTGCTCCACTTCCGATCCAGCTCTCTGTTGTGGCCTGGGAAAGCAGTAGAAGGTAGCTCGGAAGTGCAGCGGAGGATGGCCCAAGTGCTTGGGCCCTGAACCCCATGGGAGACCAGGAAAAGCACCTGGCTCCTGCCTTCAGATCAGTGTGGTGCGCCAGCTGCAGTGCGCTGGCCGCGGCAGCCATTGGAGGGTGAACCAATGGCAAAGGAAGAATGTGTCAAAGGATATTTGAAGAAAAAGTAAAAACATGACTAGCCAAATTAGGCAAAACATGCAGATGCCTGGTATCTTTTTAGCTCGTTAACAAGGGAATCAAAACAATGTAAACCTCAGTTGGAAAGAATTGGAGAGGGTGAAGTATTTATAATTGTTGAAAGAAAAAATGCTTGGAGCTGGCGCTGTGCTGCAGCGGGTTAAAGCCCTGGCCTGAAGCACCAGCATCCCATTTGGGTGCCGGTTCTAGTCCCGGCTGCTCTTCTTCCAATCCAGCTCTCTGTTATAACCTGGGATAGCAGTGGAAGATGGCCCAAGTCCTCGGGCCCCTGCACCCACTTGGGATACCTGGAAGAAGCTCCTGGCTCCTGGCTTCAAATCGGTGCAGCTCTGGCCCTTGCGGCCATCTGGGGAGTGAACCAGCAGATGGAAGACTTCTCTCTGTCTCTACTTCTCTCTGCAATGCTTTCAAATAAAAAAAAAATCTTAAAAAAAAAAAAGAAAAATGCTTAAGATTCAAATTTAGATTGAAAAAAAAAAACTGGCTAATATCTTGCAGGGCAATAAAGCTATACCCTTTGGAGTTATCGTTTGCATCACTACCAGACAAAGTTTATATCCAGTGCTATCAAATAAGAAGCATTTGTATAACTGCCATTTTTTAAAACTTCATATATGTATGAGGGACCTAAGCAACATGAGTGACAATCAGTTGTTTAGTCATTCAGCTGATAGTTTAAGGGATAGCTTTGTGCTGGGGACTGTGTCTGAGCTGAGAGTACCAGGATCTGTCCTGTTGTCAACTCTCAATCAATCGCCTGGCCTAGTCGTACAGTCATGGGTTCCAGGTTCTGACATTTGACCAAGTGAAGGTTGAAAATATGTTTTTAAATTTGCATCTGTATCAAACATGTATGTACATATTTTTTTCTTATCATTGTTCCCTAAACAATACTGTATAACTATTTACATACCATTTACATGATTTAAGATGTGATAGCTAATCTAGGTATGGGTTAAAGGATAAAGGAGGATGGATATAGGTTATATGAAAATACTGTGCTGCTTTAAATTCTAGACTTGAGCAGCCACCAGTTTGAGCATCTTCAGGGTTCCTGGAACCAATCACACAGGGACACTGAGGGATAACAGATAACAGGATACACCCTGCTTCAAACTGCTTTGCTACAGGGAGAGCCTGGCCCTGCCCTACTCTTCTGCTGTATGCAGCTGGAAGATTCCTTAAGTAATGGGCAACCTACAGGCAGAGTCAGGAGACCAGGACATGTTCATTTTGTAATGTTTTCAAGAGAATTGGTAGAAGCTAATTTACAAAGTTGGTTTTGGGGCTGGCGCTGTGGTGCAGCGGGTTAAAGTCCCGGCCTGAAGCACCGACATCCCGTATAGGCACTGGTTTTATTCCCAGCTGCTCCTCTTCCAAACCAGCTCTCTGGTATGGCCTGGGAAAGCAGTACAAGATGGCCCAAGTGATTGGGTCCCTGCACCCATGTGGGAGACTTGGAAGAAGCTCCTGGCTCCTGGCTTTGGATCAGCTCAGCTCTGGCCGTTGCAGCCATCTGGGGAGTGAACCAGTGGATGGAAGACCTCTCTCTCTGTTTCTACCTTGCTCTGTAACTCTGACTTTCAAATAAAAGAAATCTTAAAAAAAAAAAAAAAAAAGTTGGTTGTACCATTTCCCTATAAATATTGAAAAATTCTACTAAAGGAAATTTGTAACTCCTAATATTTTTTGTAAACTGGCCATCTTTTTTTTTTCTGAGTTTTATCTTTTTGGAGAAAAAGGTTTACTGAAAGGTCATTTGCCTTTTTTCCAGCCAGATTATCTTTATTTCCCTCACTTTTAGATTGTTTGAATTTAAAAGGACTTAAAGAGCTCCCATGACCGCATTGCTGTATTCTCTTGTTGCTTCAGAAGTGTTTTTTATTTGACATCTTCTCTTCCTTCATCACTCTTGGGTTTTAGCAATTTTGGGGTTACTGCTTTGATTAGATATTATCTTACGTAGAGTATGAGTGTCTGCCTTTTGACTGTGGAAGGATTTATTGCATGCCTACTTTCGGAAATGGACCAGTCATCGTCCACTTATTGAAGTGCATCCTGCCATTAGTGGTAGTGTCCTATGAAGCGTAATTGAATGTACTTTATCGAAATCCTGGAGCAAAGCAGTTATTTTGGTATTTCTGGACTGCTTGAGTCTTTCGGCTCCTCTTGTTTTTAACGGCTTGAATCTGCAAAGTTTGGCATGTTTTATTTTTTCCGACATTCAAGAAATTGTCTCTATTCTGCAAAGGTAATCTGATCAGAGTTTTCTTCTCTTTAATTGTCTATATGAACCAAATATTGATGTGCTATATCATTTGATATATAAATTAAAAGCATACTTATGCAGAAAGAATTTCTCATTTTAAACATTTCTCTTTAAAATATTGAAATGTATGTTGATCATCTACTAATTAAAATTAATACCTTTGTAGTTGGAAAGCATTGGTATTTCTAGTGTTTTTTTGGAGTAGAATCTAACTCCTACGATCAAAGAAAAACTTGTTGAATTAATACATTGAACAGGTTTTACTACTAACTTTATTTTAGAAATGCTTTTGATCTGAATTATTTAGTTAATAATAGCAAATTAAAGCACCATAATATAAAGTCAGTATACATAATTGGCTTTCTCCCTGGGAAAAGAAATGCATTTTTCTGGGCTGATCAGGACTCTTAAAGCTTTTGCCTCTGAATTTCTGTTTTCTTTATTGGTGTGTTTATAGGACAGCCACTTACATAATAATTTAGGCATATAAGAACAAGCTGTATTTTTTTTTACATTCTTTGTGATATGACTGAAGTTGGATACACTCAAAATATTTCCAGATTAGTTTTCCTGTTGGAAAATTATACAAAATAATTAATCCTTCTTTCAAATTGTGCGTTTTCAGAGACAAGGAACTGCTCCGCCTCCAATGAAACTGCCTCCTCCCTATAGCGCTCCATCTGAGGACAGCGAGGAGAGCGAAGGAGAACATGCATTTACTGACAGTGAGTCCCGTTCATTGTTCAGGGTGAATGCAGAATTTATTAAACGGTGCTTTAATGACTGTTGTACACCATTGAATCCAGGGCTATGGGTTATTTAAGATGTGCGTGAACGTCTGCTAAAAAACTGTACCTCTGGAACTTCTGTAGCCCCCTTTCCTAAACTATTCTCTTTGACGTTGTTAGAGGGAATATCAAATAAGCTGTGATGTATTCCATTTACCTGTGTTTTCACCTAATTTTACTATTTGGTTGTGATTACAAAAATACTAACTCCTTGGAACTGGAGTTTGACTCATAGTGATATGAGTTGGATGTAGATGACAGCTCTTGATTAGTTACCTTTCTGAAAGTGATGTTGATGCTGCTAATGCGAAACTATAGAAGTCCTACCAAGTTACATTTTATCCTTTGGAATTCATTTCATGATTTCCATTGGCATTCGCTGAGTCAAATTACATTAATGTATTTTAATAGAGATTTTTAAAAATTTGCCTTTGTTTAATTCCTGTACTGAATATATATAGTTAAACTTGGTTACTAATTTGTATGGAATTTCTTGTGAGAATGATGAAAATGTTCTAAAATTAGATAAAAATTAGATAGTGGTGATGATTGTACAATTAGTGACTATACAAAAACCACTGACATACTACATTATAATTGAGTGAATTTTATGGTATGTATAATATATAAGTACATACGTGTGTGTGTGTGTGTGTGTGTGTGTGTGTGTGAGAAAATTCTGGCTTCAACGCTTCCTAAAATGTGACCTTGGGTATACACTCTTCTCTGAAAAGGAGGTAATAGTGGTACTGACTTCATAGGGTTAAGTAGGAATTGAAATAATGCAAAAAGACCTAGTGGCTTAGTGAAGTATTTGCTCTTTTAGTGAATACCAAGAGGCTTGTGCTGCGTGTGGTCAGGGAGCTCTGTTCAGTGCTCCAGGTGAGGGGAGTGTCCAAGTTGACAACCAAGTTCAGCGTGGTAAATCTTTTTTTTTTTTTTTTTTAATCTGAGGGGAGGTTTCTTCTCTGTTGCAGTCTCACTTTCACCTTCTCTCCTCCAAGGAGACTAATTCCTTGGTGCTAGCCCCAGTGAGTACATTTTTCATCCATGCTGCCACAAGAACCACACAAAGGATCTGTGCAGTCCTCGGTGTGAACGTGGATCCCACAGCAATGACTCTCACCAGGGATTCAGGGATCCCTGAGCATGTGGAGCCTCCCACTGTGACTGCCCAAAGTACCAGCTGCACCCTCCCTCCCAGCTACAGTGTTTTCACAGTCATAAGCTCAAGGCTCCCAGCCAGACTCAGGTGTCTCCTCTTGGCGGATTACTGGGCATGCAGACACGAACTGGCGCAGCTGTTTGTATGTCCAAAATGATGCCCACCCTCTCTCCACTTGTTATAGGCTGCTAGTGCCGGGTGCTCAGGGAGAGAGAAACCAGCTGCCTATTTTATTCCTTCTAGGTTGGCAGGTATACTGTCTCCCACAGGGCCCAAGCCGGAATCAAGCTAGGCTCTTCCCTCATCTTTATCACTAGTGGCTTGGACTGCTGCAATCTGATCTCGCCTCACTACAAAGCTGGTGCTGAGGCTCTTGGCTCCTGGGGTCCTGAGTTGGACATGTCCATACCCTCCAAGTAGGGCCACAATGTCCCTCTAATTTGTGTGGAGTTTCCTCTGCCATTTTTTTCCTAACTCTTCCCTGAGATTGCTCTCTCTCCACTTCTTTTTTTTTTTAGCTATCTTCCCCTAGACTAAAGCAGTAAGCTCTGTACCTAGTCTACCATATTGAAAAACTAAGAGTTCACATTTTTTAAAAGATTTATTTGTTTATTTTTTGATTTGAAAGAGTTACTGAGTTACGGAGAAGGAGAGGCTGAGAAAGAGAAAGAGAGAGAGAATCTTCCATCTGCTGGTTCACTCCTTAAATGGCCACAATGACCAGGGCTGGGCCAGGCCAAAACCAGGATACAGGAACTTCATCTGGGTCTCCCACGTGGGTGCTGTAGCCCAAGGACTTGGGCCACCTTCCGCTGCTTTCCTAGGCTCATTGGCAGGGAGCTGAATTGGATGTGGAACAGCCTGAACTCGAACTGGCACCTGTATGGAAAGCCAGGGTAGCAATTTGGAGGCTTTATCCACTGTGCCATAGCAGTTCCCTCATAGTTCACATTTAAAAGACTGGTAAGCCTAGAGCCTCCAGCCTTCCTATATTTCCTTTTAAAATGGATTCCATGGACTTTTTGTTGTTTTTAACTCTTATTAAATGCATATTGTTCTCATCTCTCCAAACCCAAAAGTAGATTGGGCCACTGTTGTATCAGATTCTTAGTGTCTGAAGACTAAACATTTCTTTTCACAGTGGTGAAAATATCACTTTGTAACTTACCCGAGGTCTATGATTCTGAAGTAGTTGACTTGAATTCAAGCTCTAGGCCCGCAGAGAGGTGTCACTTTTATTAGAGATATCACAATATGAGATTCACTTTCCTTTTTTAAGTGTTCCAAAGCTTTGATTCTTGCTTAATTATGAAGTTCATTTGTTCAAGAAATTTTTTGAGGGAATATTATGGGTAGACAGACTCTATTCTAGGTGTTGGAAATAGAGCTGGGAAAATGATTTCTCCTTTCATTTAGCTTATATTCTATTGAGGGAGAAAAATTATGAGGAATACAGTAGTTTAAATAGTGGTAAGTGCTATAAATAAACTATAAAAGTAAATTAACAAAAAAAATTAAAAATTTAAATACAGTTAAAAGATTTTGAGGAATGAATTAAACAAGGTAGCATGAGGTAAATGCCTTGGCAGAGGTAACATAGGGTAGAAGGTTATGAAAGGCCAAAATAAGATTTGAATGACAAGAATGTACCAGCCATGCAAAGAACTGGCTCATATAGTAATCATATAGATGAGGATTTTTTTCAGACTGACCTACGCTAACTTACATTTTATATCACAGCCAATATAAATATATGTGTGCATATGTGCACACACAGAAGAACATGGAAATTCTGAAACATTTTACAAACTTTTCTAATATTTGATGAATTTTATTCTTTTTCTATCATGTTCTTCATTTCTAAAATAGTTGCAACTCAGTTTGTTTCTTGACCAACAAGTAAGTTTCAACTCACATTATGAAAAACTCCAGTCTAGAAATGTGATCCCTGTTAAACATAGGAGTGGGAATAAGAGAGGGAAGAGATGTACAATTTGGGACATGCTCAAGCTGACTTGCCCCAATTGGTAGAGTTAGAAACATACCAGGGGACTCCAATTCAATCCCATCAAGGTGGCATGTACCAATGCCATCTCACTAGTCCAAGTGATCAATTTCAGTTCACAATTGATCGTAATGAAAGGACTAAGAGTCAAAGGGAGCACATAAACAAGTCTAGTATCTGCTAATACTAACCGATAGAATAAATAAAGGGGAGAGTGATCCAACATGGGAAGCGAGATACTCAGCAGACTCATAGAATGGCAGATGTCCTAAATAGCACTCTGGCCTCAGAATCAGCCCTAAAGGCATTCGGATCTGGCTGAAAAGCCCATGAGAGTATTTCAGGCATGGAAAGCCAAGACACTCTGGCAAAAAAAAAAAAACCTAAATGAAAGATCTCTGTGAGTGAGATCCCAGTGGAAAGAACAGGTCTTCAAAGAAGGAGGTACCTTTCTCTGAAGGGAGGAGAGAACCTGCACTTTGACTATGACCATGTCTAAACAAGATAAGAGTCAGAGAACTCAAAAGGCTTCCATAGCCTTGGAAACTCATGACTGGAGCATAGGGAGATTACTGATGCCATAAACAGGAGTGTTAATTTGTAAAATCAACAACAGGAGCCACTGTGCACTTACTCCTCATGTAGGATCTCTGTCCTTAATGTGCTGTACATTGAGGCTTAATGCTATAACGAGTACTCAAACAGTATATTTCACTTTGTGTTTCTATGGGGGTGCAAACTGTTGAAATCTTTACTTAATGTATACTAAACTGATCTTCTGTGAAAAAAAAAAAAGAAGAAATTATCAATTTCCAACTTGACTCTCACTGGGATTAAACATGACAATAGGTCTGATCTGATTTCATCATCATTTAAAAAATCATCTATTATTTTTCACTTTATGTTTCTGTGTGGGAGCAAACTGTTGAAATCTTGACTTAATGTATGCTAAACTGATCTTCTGTATATTAAGAGAATCAAAAATGAATCTTGATGTGAATGGAAGGGGAGAGGGAGTGGGAAAGGGGAGGGTTGTGGGTGGGAGGGACGTTATGGGGGGGAAGCCATTGTAATCCATAAGCCGTACTTTGGAAATTTATATTCATTAAATAAAAGTTAAAAAAAAAAAGAAAAAAGAAAAACTCCAGTCTAGAGAATTGATTTTTTTTAACTTTTATTTAGTAAATATAAATTTCCAAAGTACAGTTTATGGATTGCAATGGCTTCCCCCCCCCCATAACTTCCCTCCCACTCGCACCCCTCCCATCTCCCACTCCCTCTCCCATTCCATTCACATCAAGATTCATTTTCAATTATCTCTATATACAGAAGATCGATTTAGTATATATTAAGTAAAGATTTCATCAGTTTGCACCCACACAGAAACACAAAGTGTAAAATACTGTTTCAGTACTAGTTATAGCATTACTTCACATTGGACAACAAATTAAGGACAGATCCCACATGAGAAGTAAGTACATAGTGACTCCTGTTGTTGACTTAACAATTTGACACTCTTGTTTATGGCGTCAGTAATCTCCCTAGGCTCTAGTCATGAGTTGCCAAGGCTATGGAAGCCTTTTGAGTTCTCTGACTTCAATCTTATTCAGACAGGGTCATAGTCAAAGTGGAAGTTCTCTCCTCCCTTCAGAGAAAGGTACCTCCTTCTTTGATGGCCCCATTCTTTCCACTGGGATCTCACTCGCAGAGATCTTCCATTTAGGTTTGTTTTTTTTTTGTTTGTTTTGTTTTTTTTTTTTTTTTCAG